CCCTCGTCCCCCTCCTCTCCCTCCCTCCTCCTCCTCCCCCTTCTCCTCCTCCTCCTTCTGTTGTAGAGTCACTGAATATGGTTTTCATTGTGGACACCATCTCTGCAGTTGTCTGAGAAATTATTTCTAATTTGATTTTTTTCTGGAGCCTCATTTAATTTCTTTGCTGTTAGCACTTCAGAGAGGCCAGGTGGGGGGCTTTTGGATTGTCTCATCTCATTGCCCCTGGGTTTGTCTTTGGAGAGGTGGATGTCTGCGGTTGCATCTTGTTTAAGTGCCCTCTCCTTTTCTTCATTCATTCATTCATTCATTCATTCATTCATTCATTCAGTTTTATTCCTTGGGTGATGCTTATAAATTGTCTATGATGAATTGCTTTATTACTAGTGTTTAGAACCCTTAGGAAATGACTACTTCTCACAGATATCTTTTGGGTGTAGCTGTTTTTTGGGTTTTGACTCTGTTTCTAGACCCTGTGTCTTCAGTTTGTTGGGCTGAAAGGTTGCTGCCTGTTTGAGCTGCGCCACCGTATTTTCAGTGGCCCGGGTTGGAGCTTTTCTTGTGGTGCGGTGAGTCCTGTCTTAGGGAGAAGGCGCTGCTGGGTACCTCCTTTCTCTTCATTGAAGTTTCCCTCTTCACTCTCGTCATGAGCTTGAATTCATGCTTCAAGTTCTTGCTGGGCCCAGGAGATCCACTTCTGGCCTTCTCCTCTTCCGTGTTGCGGTGTCTGTCAGCGTCTGGAAGGCAATCCTCGGAGAGGCATCTTGGTGCCTCTTTCTCCCTAATTCTTTCAGTGTGTGTCTTGATCACTTTCCTATTTGCTGGGACAAAATACCTGACCGTGCACCTTCGAGAAGGGGGGTTGGTTTGGACTTAGAAGTCAGGCGCTTGCGTCCTGCTGGCTGGCACCAGGCAGAAGGGCACAGTGGAGGGGAGTGGTGCGAGGCATGGTGCAGGGACTCGGGTTGGAGGAGCCATTCATTAATTCTCTTGTGTGATGTTTGTTTTTCTGCAGAGTAATTCAGAGTCCAGTTGCAGAAAGCTTGTCTTGTTACCACCATGAGCTCTGGTAAGTCATTTTACATCCTTCCTTTCTTGGCAAAACTATAAATCCACCTGTTTACGAAGGTTTTCCACATACTCTAAGGGCCCTGCCAGCATTTTATTTTTTATTTTTGCATCCTGGGTGAGTGCCAGTGGCCTTTGTCCTAAGTCAGCATTGCCACCTACATTGTTAATGATTTTTTTGAGTACTTACTGTCTGTCAAGAGCTGTACTGTGTTCTGCTGGGGTTTTTTGCCTTTTGCCTTTTGTTATGTAAAATAGGCGGGGGCCTGTTTGTTTACTTAAGTTTTAACTTTTGCTCTACAACTAAAGTTTCTTGCTCTACCAATAGTGGGATTAGGCTAAGATAGTATTGCTGCTTAATAGTAAGGGCGTGAGGAGGAAGGGTGGGACTGATGAAGAATGGGGGTGTGGCGGTGCCCAGGGGACTCCCAGGCCTCTCTTAGAAGGCCCTGTTGCCTGGGAGGAGTCCACAGCCCTGACTCCCTTGTCCTCCCTCCATCTGGGAGATTCTAGCTGAACTTGAAGGAAACAAAACATCACCCCATGTGCGTCTGTGGTGAGTGTGTAGACTGTGTGTGCTTGTTAGAATGTCGTTACACTAGTACTAAAAGTGGTCACTGGGCAGACAGGAAGTACATGGGAAGCTATTGCTTGTACCATTTATGGAAATTACAGCACGAACATAATGTATTCCTTTAAAAAATATTTATTTATTTAGATACTCGCTGTGCAGCTCAGACTCATAGTGATCTTCCTATCTCAGCCTCTACAGAACTGGGATTAGAGGCGTGTGCCCCCACGCCTGCTTCTGGGCCCAGCACGGCATGCAGTACTGGGATCAAGCTCAGGTCCTTGCGCTTGCGAGCCCTTGAACTGCCAAGCTCTCTCCCCAGCCCAATAATGTGTTCCCTTTAACTTCACTTCTTGCCTCGGCTGGCAGTCGCTGAGGGAAATGCTGTACTTGATGATTTTGTTATGTGCTGCAAACCCACGAAGGCAGGCTTGGCTTACTGCCCCCAGTGTGTAGATGAGGCCGCCGAACCTGCCTGGGTCGCTGAGGTAGTGTGTAGTGCGAAGGCAGAAGACACCGCTGCTGAGCGCGACACACTTCGGTAGAGGCTTAAGTTTGTGCTGTTGGGTTTATTGATTTTAAAACACTTTTTTAAAAAGAATTTCTTTCAGGTTGGTTGTTATGGTTAATTAAAAAGACCAAAAAAAAAAGAAAAAAAAAAAAAAGATGAAAGGAAGAACATGGGCCTGAGCTGGAGGTAGGACTCAGGGATGCCCAAGACAGGGTGGACAGTGCCAACAGGATGTGACGAAGGGGAACCAAGGAAGGGGTGGGGGACGGGTCGTGTGTTTTTTCTTTTTTGATTCCTAGCTTTCCCACTAGCCCAGACCTTTCCCCTCTCCCCATATGAGGGCTCAGGCGGGATTTGACATCCAAGAAAACGAGGCTTCCTCTGCAGGTGGAGGCAGGTGATGGATGGGCCACAGCCAGGGTCTGGGTGGGGCAGGCTGGATGGGGCGGGGCGGACGCCCTGCCCTGGGGTGGCACAGGCAGCAGCCAGCTGGCCTGGCCAGGTGGCCTATGTCAGGCATTTAACCTGTGGGTGGCTTACTGTGAGGAGCCTCCTCGGAGTGGCTTAGTCTCAGCCTGAGGTGTTACTGGGGTTTGAGACGGGGCTTCAGGCCCAGCGCCGAGGTAAACAGAACATAGAACGAACCAGGAAACCAAAGTGTTTATTCCAGTTATGGAAGAGAAGATAAGCAATGAGCTGGGCCAGTTCACATCCCAAGATCGTTATCTGGGGTAGGCCTGGCCACCTTTTTGAGAATCATTTTTCTTTTGTCTAGAACAATGTGTTTTTTTAAAAATTGTTTTGTACAGGTTCTCACTACGTAGCTCAGACTCATATTGATCCTTCTGTTTTCAACCTCCCCAGCACTGGGATTACAGGTGCATGCCACCATGCCCGGACTTGGTGGCTGGCTTAGTACGTCCCAGGGGTGGAGCTAGTGCAGCATGTGGTACTGGGTATCGAACCCTGGTCCCTGTGCTTGCTTAAGCAGGCGCTTAGTCCACTGAGCTGTCTTGCTGGCTCTAGAATAGTAGCTTCTAACCTCTCCCTCCAGGTAAACAGTAGTTATGATTATAGTGATTATTATTTATGTTGTAAGTTCCTCTAAGCACACTGGCCGTGCATCCCAGGGTGACAGGGTCCACCTGTTTTCTGTGGCTTTCCTCCATTTATTTTGGGGCAGTGTGGTCTGCAGCTGAGAAAAACTCAGGGAATCTCAGCTGATACAAAGCCAAGCGAGCCACTGGATGTGCAGGATTTTCCTGAAGTTAGAGAAGGGGAGAGGGCATTCTTGCACGGGGCTCAGAAGTCTCTGATACACTCAGGAGAGAGGAGGATGGAACTGGAAGGGGCTCATGCTGATGGGCAGAGCCTTGGGCCGAGAGCAAGTTGGTTAGCCTCTGTCCCCTGGAGGTGGCCCCCTGGGCTTTTGGTTGGGTTGGTTTGTTTTTGATGATCAAGAATATAAATTGTTAATTTAATTGTACTCGTATGTCAAGATGCTGGTCATCCTAGTTACAAAAAAATTATGTTCCAAACCATCATTTCTGTACTGTTAGGGACTTGGAATACATTTTGCCCCCTTGAAAACAGTGTTTGACATGATTAAATTCTCAGATCGAATCCTTCAGTTTTAATTTTCAAATCCAAAGTGAAATGCCATATACGTAAAGGAAGAAGGCTTAGAGAAGCGTGCTGCGGAGGCCCGCTGTGTTTCTGCCTGGTCTTTCCCTGCGGCTCTAGTTCAGGGAGTGCTGTAGCTAGGTGAGGGTCTCCAAGATGCTCTTAGGGTGCAGGTGAGGGTTGGGGAGAGAATGGACTGAAAAGAAGCAGAAGGAGGAGTAGTCCGAAAGCCTTGACATCTCTGGGACAATGGCATCAGGCCACATTTGAAGTGGTAAGGAGGAGCAGCATCCAAAGACACTTCTTGGAGAGGACAGAATGACTTTGACATGTGGGTAAGAAAAAGTGCCAGGGACCCTGAGCTTTCTGCCTGAGCTGTGTGACCCACCGGACTCTGGGTGCAGAGGGGAACCCCTGAAATGGCCTTTGCGTGGGCAGACAGAAGATGCCATTATGAGGAAGTTAGGGAGAGTTTTTAAGTGTCAACAAGGCAATGAGGCAAGAAGATTTCTATCACCTCCATACGCATCCCATCCCCAATAGCTCTCATGTGGCTTTCTTGGAACTCTTCCAAGATACCCCAGGGAGTCATTGTAAGCCTGGGAAGGCTGAAGGGAGGGCTGTGTGTGGGCTGCAGTTGGGGGACAGAGCCACGCAGGGACAGGAAGGGCAGGATCCTTTGGTCTCTTGACTGTCTCCAGTACCTCATGCCACACAGTGGACACTGGGGAAGTGTGCTAACCAGATTGTGCTCTTCGTTCTTCTTTCAGAATGTGACGTTGGCGCTTCTAGGGCTGCTGTGAATGGCTTGGCACCCGGCAGCAATGGACAGGACAAAGGTAAGGCTCTTCAGGAGAAGCCTGGCCTGGTGCCGAGAAGTGTTTCTGGAAGGGCGGAGTGTGTTGGGCTGGGGCCACCCCAGCTGCCCCAGGAGAGCATCGCTCTCCTAAGCAGGCCGTGAACTGGACACTCAGTCCTAGCTATGACTTCCTGAGACCTGGGGCATATTGTTGCCGCTCATAGGTGTGAGGCTGCCTTTCCCCGCCGGGAGCTGAAAAGCTGTCCCTAGCTCACAAGGCTACTATGAATGACAGAACAACTGCCTGGGCCCTGGCACCTGTCCCGCCTGGCACAAGTGGGATTTCAGGATTTCATCCGCCTGAAATCCCTCGTCCCTGCCATTTTACCTGCCCTTGTAATCATTAGGGACAGTCACTGCTCTCTGAGGCAAGAGCCCAAATCTTTAAAAGAAATCATTCCTGAGCTGTCAGTTCCACGCCCATTCTCGCGTATTTTCAGGATATACTGTCGTTTTGGTGTGCTGGAGTTAACTCGAAGGCCTCGTACATGCTAGGGCCATGCTTGCCCGCTGAGCCACAGGCCTGCTCCTCTGTTTTCAGTTGTAAGTGTCTTAGGACAATTTTAATTGTGAAGCAGATGATGATACGCTGGCTGGAGGCCGAGAGCTTCCTGGTGCACTCACTTGGCTGCCTACACAGGCTAGAAGCGGAGTGCCCAGCTCCATTTTTGCAGTGTGGGGTGGCGGGCGCTGGAGTTGGAGAAAAGAGGTACAGCTCCAGCCCTGGCTGTGCTTCTCACAAGCGGAGACCTCTGTTTTGGGAGGTCTTCTGACTTTGAAGGTATAAGTTCTTAGCCAGAATGGGGGTGCTCGCTCTTCTGCAGTGTGTATTCCCGCTTCCCATCCTGGGTCCCAGGGCCTCTGTGAGTGTTCGCCCAGCTGCATCTTACGGTACAGAGAGGAAGGGCGGAAATCCTGGCATGGGGCATTGAAGCTGAAGTGCAGTATCTCTTCAACAATAGCTGCAGAGCGTTTGCTGTGATTGGCCTGTGTTGGTCCCACCTGATGTGGCCAGGCAGTCCTTTTGAGACAGGGAAAGTGTGAATTCAGAAGGGAGCAGCTCGGGAGAGAAGGTGCAGAGAGCAGGAGGACATGCGGGCGTGGGAGTGGGTGACTTGGGGGTGGGCTCCCTGGGGCAGGAGGTATCCTGCCACTGTCCCATGGCCCCTGCCTCCCTGCCCAGCCGCCCTTCTTCTCTCATGGTGAGGAGCATTTCTGCTTTGTTGGGTCTTGGACCATCTTGGCTGAGTTTCCCTTAGGGAGTACCATGGGGCCATACCTGTGGGGGGCTGCAGATGCATGTTTAGGCGTCCCTGAAGAACATGGAGGGCTGGGGCACGATTTGCTGTAGGCTGGTCACCTGTGCCCCTGTGGTCTCTGTACACCAGAGGCTCAGGGCAGTGGGAGGAGGGTGGCGGAGAGGTGGAGTCCACGCTGTCCTCGGGTGGATTTTGGGCTGGACGTGAGGCAGGTGTAGGCTGAACACCGTGAGGTGTTCACCAGGCCAGGAGCCAACGAGCTTAGAGCTAACGAGCCAACGAGCTGAGCAGTCTCAGCCTCTCAGCTTAGAAACGGAGTGACCTGGAGCAGTTGGCCACACCTCTTGCTTCTTCCTGTGAACAGTTAATGTTTAAATTGTTTTCTTTTTAACTTTTTTTTTTTTGCCACTTTTGCATGCTTATATCTGGTAATCTGAACAACTAATTTATAGACAACAATAAGCAATATAAAAACCATTGTTGAATTCCTATCATTTTGTTTAGTGAAATTCTGTCATGTTTCTTTTCTTTTTCTTTTTTCCTTTTTTATTTTTTTTGCTATTTTTTATTCTCCTTCAAAAAGAAAAGAAAGGAAACAAAAAGCCTCCTATGCAGCCAGTGGCCCTGGAGATTACAAGATGCAGCTGCACGATTGCTGGGGAAGTTTGTTTGTTTCTTAATATGTGCAGAATCATCATGGATATCATTAATCATTATATTTATTATTAGTCACCATCAGGATCACCATGATGGTTGTTGACAGCCACCTGCAGTACGACTGGCATGTGACTTATGGAGCAGCATGTGATTGGCCGGGAGATCCCTTGCTCCTGCCAGGAGCCTCCTGCTAGCAATCTCACCAGTGTGGCGCTGATGTAGCAGCGGCGGTCCCTCCCCCAGCACTCTTAGCCCTTGTTACTCCATGGCGGTGGGGCCCTGAGGGCTGTGGGCCGCACTGGGAATGGCTTTGGCACAGGTGAACAAGGGCCGCCATCTTTATTTGTGCCTTTTAAGAGAAAGACAAGGAAGGCTTGGCTTGTGCCTGGTGTCGAGATTTGAGGCTGGATGGTGTTGACCCCGGAGTCCTGCAGCAGATAGGCACAGACACCTTGGTCTCGGGGAGAGCAGCCTTCCCTGGTCCCGGGCGGGGATCCTGCTTTGTGCTTGCTGGATGTCAGCGTCCAGTCCGGGCACTGCCTGGAGTCTTACGTATGCACTTGGACACTTGGCACCTCTTTCCCTGGAAATGGTGGGTTTAAATAAGACCATCTGCTCCTCAACAGATGGAGTCTTTGACTTGTTTGGGGCTAGAGGGCAATGACTGTCAGAGTGGGCCTTGGGACCCCAGAAGTTAGGATTCGGGGGAAGCAGCTGTGACAGCTGAAGGGACCAGGCGACTCGTGAGCTTGTCCCTTTGCTTCTCTCACTCACCTCGGGCCTCTGGCCATCGGCCCTCCTCAGAGCCCCTGCTGCAGGGGGGTGGTCCGCACGCACCCAGGGCCCCCGGTTACGCTCCCCGGGCTCTATCTGCCAGACCATCTGCGTCTCTGTGCGCCTCTTTGTTCAGAGCGTTGGCAAGCCCTGGTGTGGCAGGAGGCACCAACAGACACTGACCAACTGTGTTTGGGGTGCTTGGAGGAAGGTTTCTGGTGTCTTGGCCCAGAACTCTAAAGAGAGAGAGAGCATGTTATTCCTTTGTGTTGTTCTTTTCAAGTAGGACGGCTCCTCCCCTGTCCCTACTTGGTTCCTCAGAGGCACGAATGTCTCCCAAGTGTTCTTTCCAGATGCACCATTTACCTTTTTGTGTTTTCAGCAACTGTCAGCCCTTGCCGTGCACGCTCTATTTCTGCTGTTAAAATAATTCCTGTGAAGACAGTGAAAAATGCTTCGGGCCTGGTCCTCCCTCCAGGTACCTTGCCTTGGTTGGTTTCTTTCCTTTTATTGTCAGATCATGCATGGTTTCCTTTCTTCTTTGCTTCTAACACTTACTGTGAGGCTTAATCCTTGCATGACTGGGAGGTGTTCTCTCTTTCCCGCAGCTTGTTTCCTTTCTTCTCTGTGGTGTATGTGACTGTGTGCACGTGTTCCTGGGAGCCGGTGAGCGGGCAGTGGCTTTGGGCTGCCTCTGAGGCAGAGGGCCAGGCCAGCGGCTGAGTGTTCTCTCTGGGGTGGGCCTGTGTGGCCGCACAGGCTCTCTCTAGAAGCTTGCAGCTCCCAGTACTTTAGTGAAGCTTCAGGCGTCCCCAAGAATCACCCTGGCCTCACAGGGAATCTTCGCACTGGGCAGACTGCGAAGCAGCCGCCTCAGCAGGAACCCTGAGCTGTGGGTCCCCAGAGCGTCACCGCCCCAGCCCTGGCTCCCCTGTTGCGCTTTCCGCCTCTCCCGGCAGGTGCAGGGATACGGTTCAGGTGTCAGCTGTGGCTCAGAGCTTCTGCTGTGCAGAGCGGCACAGTGGGGTCTAGACTGCACTTTCTCCTGTGACGCTTGCGAAGCTGGGTAAATCTGGTTGTGTTCAGGAATCTATGGAAGGGCTATGGGTTTGCTGCTTTGTCCCTTCCCCATTGGGAATGAGCATGGATCAGTTGTTCCCCGTAGCTGTGACCTCAGTTACCCTTGCACAGGGCGGACACGTCAGACATCTGGGGGCGGCTTCTTGCACAGCCCCTGGTAGTGGGGTTTGTGCTGTCTTTTCCACGAGGAGGCTGGCAGGCATATCTGGCCTCTTCTGCGGCACCAGGGGTGGTTCTGAGTTGTTGCCTGCTGGGGTGGAAAGCGAGGCGAAAAGCAGCTGTGCTGCCTGCTGGCCTCAGACAGGAATCGGAATGGACTCTGAACCCACGTCCTATCTGAGTGCCCATGCTGGCTTCTACCTGTAATCTTTTTTTTTTTTTTTTTCTGTATTTTAGGGAAGGGTCTACAGGGTGTTCATGGTCTCACTACTAGATCAGACTCAGTGATCCTCCTGTTTACAGCCTCCCAAGAGCTGGGATTACAGGGGTGCACCACCACTCAGTTGCCGCCTCAGCGGGTCCTGCGGGCGGGGCCGGCACACAGGCCTGGGGAATGAATCCTGGCCCCTGCGCCTGCTTGCAGGCGCTTTAATTCATGGAGTTTTTTGGCTGGCCCTCTACCCATAATCTTAATGGTGGTAATTTTGGGTCAAGGATCTGGGCTGTGAATAATGAGGGGGGGGGGAAAGACCCCAAATAAGCATGGAATCGAGCTTAGCTCAGCTACACGTGTGTCTTCTAGAATACTGTGGTTGGGACTGGTTTCCTGCTGTTTCATTTTTGATTTTCCTGGTGGATGGGTGTCCAGATCTTTTGACACTTACAGTAGTCTCCTTAGCTGCAGTTTCATTTTCTGTTGTCCGTTACCCGTGCTCAGCCATGGTCCAAAAATATTAAAGGAAACATTTCAGAAATAAAACAATTCTAAAGCGCCGGTCAAATAGCTCAGTGGATTAAAGCACCTGCCTAGGCATATGCAGGTGCTAAGAGTTTGATCCCTGGGCCTGCCCCATCCCTGGGGCACGCTGAGACAGCAGTTGAGACTGGCCATGGTGGTGCGCGCCTGTGATCCCAGCACTTGGCAGGCTGTAAACAGGAGGATCACCACGAGCCCGATCTATGCAGTGAGACCCTGTAGACCCTGTACACCCTGTCCTAAATACAAAAAAAGAGAAAGAAACAATTCTGAAGTTTTAAATAACTTTTATATAGTGTTGTTATTTCATTTTATTATTATAGTTGTTAATCTCTTACTCTACCTAGTTTATAAATTAGGCTTTACCTGAGGCCCGTGTGTTCAGGGCACAGGGATGCACATACCAGGATCAGTACTGTGTGGTCTTGGGGTGTGTCTCGCTTGGACAAGGAGACCCTGTACTGTTGCATCCTCCTCAAGGGGAATTCTCAGAGATTAGACCCTGGTAACCTGTCAGGGAGCTCAAAGCCCTGTGAAGGGCTGCTCTGGGGACGGTCACTGAATAGCACTGCCAGGGGCTGAGCCTTTTCGCTCATCTTCCTCGCTGCGATTTTCTTCATTCCCTTTGCAGTGCGAGGCTGCGTAGCCTTCTGTCCCTTCTCCTCAGAGCTCTTGCAGAGGCGAGGAGGTTTGCTTTCTTTTTTCTCTCTGAAGAACTGCAACAAAGTGATCCTCCTCAGAACATCCCTCTGACTCCTTGCGTTGCTGGTTTGCTCTAGGATGAGACAGAGTTTGGAAGCTTGAGAGAACTTTGATGAACTCTTTCTTGAAACATAACTTACTAATTGACCGGAAGTCTGAAGTCTGCTTACCAACCTAAACCTCATTTAATAAAAGACACTGGCCTGCTTTCCTCTTGAGGCATTTGCAGCTGATGCAGCAACTCATCCGTTCACTCGGGACTCGCCGTCACCTCCTTGCCCCTAATCTCGTGGTGCCTCACAAGCCTCTGGGAATGGTTTCGCTTTCCCCCTCCACCACCCACAGATTGATTCCATGGGCCGCGAGCCTTTGAGGACGCCCGGTAGCTCTCATCAAATTCATCTCATCTTCCCTGCTGTAACGATTTGCTAAATAACCTGTTTCTTCTAGAGTCTTGAATTCAATCTTTTCTTTTGGGTATTTTCTTTTCAGATATGGATCCTACAAAAATCTGCACTGGAAAAGGAGCAGTGACTCTCCGGGCCTCATCCACCTACAGGGATGCCCCAACCAGGAGCCCTGTGAGCCCTCAGGAAACCCCGGAGCATGAACGCAAGCCAGGTGCGCAACCCCTGAGACTGCGCGATGGAATTTGGGGTGTATGGGAAGATCACCCTGCTTTCGTTTAGGTGGTTTTGAATTCTTCTGCCACCCGAGTTCCTCAACGGCCTCTGGGAAAGTTGTTTCTTCGGTTGTTAGTAGTGGCTCTGGGCTGATGGGTAGACACTTGCTTTTGGTGAAGGCACAGCAGTGACCCTCACTTTATTAGCACTTTGGCTTTACACCAGCCTGTGCTCTGAAGACTAAATTCGGGAGGCAGAGGTGGCCTTGGGCCGGGGAGGTGGGGGGGCACAGGGCGAGATGCCCTCTGTGTTTGGCTTCTCTGAGCTCATCTTTCTTTTGAGCTAAGTGGACAGGGAGGCAGAACAGCTTGGAAAGAAGAGCCAGCGGTGCGCAGGCCTGTGGTGGCGAACACAGCGGAGGGAACAGGATGGGGAGAGCAGTGGTAAAGTTGGCGCAGCTGAGAGAGACCAAAGCAGCCCGTGGGACCCCCCGCCCACCCTGACCTTGGCGTGAGAAGCCTGAGCGTCTACAACGTGCCGTGCAGGCTTAGACCTGGGGATTTGGAGTGTGTAGATCTGTGTCCATGTCTTGCTCTACCGCCTCGTGCAATTCATTGTACTTTTCCTCAGCACCAAGGATCTCGTCTACAGAGCGGGTTGCTCAGTGTACCTGTCACCTGGGATTAGTGTGCAAAGGAAGATGGGGAGCATTTTACACTAGGCCTAGAACCAACTGTTAGATGCTAGGGGCTGTTCTTAGGTTAGATTGGGGTTTCTTTGACCTCTCTGGAGAGGGCTTTCCAGGTCTGGCGTATTCCTGAAGGAGGTAGTGCTGACTGGGAGTGCACAGGTGCCCTTAGTCGGGGGTGGGCAGCTCCGCCCACCCTGTGGTACAAAGGATTCCATGCTCTTTCTCCTCACACTCACCTGGAGTGAAAAGGCAGGTTACTGGGCCCCAGCCAGAGGCTGAGGATTTGTTATTCCTGCTTGCAGGCCTGGGGGGTGATCTGATGGTGGGCATTCCTGACAAGTTCCTGGCAGACCGTATTTGAGGATTCTAAGGGAGATAAGGAAGAAAATGAGAGAAAATGAACTGAAGGGCTGACTGCTCCATTGGAGTCAGAGAGGAGAGAAAGTGGGGCGTGCAGACCTGCCGGCACAGTGGGAGGGCTGTGGGTAGCAAAGCAGGATTGTGTAGGACGCAGAGGTCAGTGCCCGGTGTCCTGGAGACCCGCCTTCTTGTTCCTGAAGCAGGGGCCCCAGGACAAGGTCAGTTTAGTGTTAACTTACCAGCAATGTTGGCACCTATAGAGGGCTTCGTTTACAGACCCAGGGAAGTTTACAGACCCTAAGCAGCTGATGAGCCCACAGTCCATTCCTGACCTGTTGCAGTTTTTTCTTCTCTGGAATACTGGGGCTGAGGAGAAAGGGCAAAGTGGCTTCTTTTCAAAGCTCACCTAACCAGGCTTCTCTGAGTGTAGGAAGACACAGCTCCCAGCTGGAAATCCCAGGGGCAGAAGAAAAGCCGCTGCCTAACCCAGCCAGTCCTCAGGCTGTGAAGGGATGTGGCAGAGGAGGGGCCCGGAGCTCCCTCTAGTGTCACAGCGTGTGCTGCTGTGGCCTGCAGCTGCTGCTCCCCCGTGCGCTGCGGAGCTCCAGCGAATTTGAGGCCTCTGCAAGGACTCGCCCTCTTGTCCTAGAATGGCTCTGAGGCTTATGGGCTTCCTACCAAGTAATTTTGGTGAGGAGATTTTGTCAAACCCTTTCCACCAATTGTTTAAAAACCTGTTTATTTAATTACTCGGTACAGGGTCTTGGTGTACAGCTTGGATTTGTTTTTATTGATTCTCCTGTCTCAGTCTCCCCAGCACTAGGATTACAGGCATGCATCACCACACCCGGCTTGGGGGCACATGATGTGCCCAGCGGTTCTGGGGCCAGCAGGGCATGCTGCAGCAGGGATTGAACCTGGGTCCTTGTGCTTGCCAGCCAGGTGCTTAGACCACTGAGCTATCCCTCCAGCCCTCACCAAATCTTTCTAACAAGTAATTTTAGTGAAAAAAAAATTTGGTTCAGGGCTGGCCAGATAGCTCAGTGGATTAAAGCAGCTGCTTAGGCAGACACAGGGACTCAGGTTTGATCCCTGGCACCACACTCGTGCAGGCCCGTCCCCCAGACGCGCTGAGAAGTTGACTGAAACTGGGCGTGGTGGCGCGCACCCATAATCCCAGCATTTGGGAGGCTGAAAACAGGAGGATCACTACTAGTCCAGTCTCTGTAGTGAGACCCTGTACTAAATACATAAAAAAAAAAAAAAAAAGGAAAAGAAATTTGGTTCAAACTCGTTTCTTCAAGTCTTTACCAAGTTGTTTAAAAATATGTAAATTGGAAGATTAGCTATCAGTGTATTTATCTTACAGTAAATTATTTTCCTCTGGTAAGTTGAAATTAATTTAAGTGAACATGCATTCGTTCAACATCTGTGTGCCACGGGCTGAGCAACTCACTGGGGATTGTGGTGAGAAATGGAGAGAAAGGAGGAGAAAGAAAAAAGGAGCAAGGAGGCTGGGGAGAGAGCTCAGTGGCGTAAGCGCCTGCCTGGCAAGCACGAAGACCCGGGTTTGATCTCCAGTACTGCATGCCAAGCTGGCCACGGAGACTGGGCGTGGTGGTGCACTCCTGTAATCCCAGGGCTTGGGAGGCCGCGACAGGAGGGTCACTGCGAGTCAGAGATACATAGTAAGAACCCGTACCAAATACATAAATAAATAAATAAATAAATAAATAAATTTATTAAAGAAAAGAGTGCTTCTAGGTGCTGAGGGGAGGGCGGGAGGCGGTCTGTGGCAGAAGAAGCGTCTAGCAAGGGTTTGTGGTGCCCTGCCCTGCCTGCTGGCTGTAAGTACCAGGGATTTTGAAGCCCATATAAAGTACAGGGACATGGGAGAGATGCCGTCCAAGTCTAAATGTCCCACGTGCTCCTTGACCTTGGGAAGCTGAAAATCAATTTGGCGCAAATATGAGTGACATTGACTGCAGATCAATTCAAGATTGTAGAGTTGGGTGACGGGTGGAACTGGATGAGATGACAGGGCTCAAGGAGAGAAAAGACGCCATGCCAACCAGGAAGTGTCTTCCCTGGTTTTCCAGGAGGATAACTGTGGCCTTCATAAAGACGGGGAATATGTAAAAGGAGTCGAAAGGAATGTTCCTATTTAGGCATTGTGAATTGCTTGGCCAGTGAGAGGTACCTTTGGAAATTTGGAGTCCCAGGTACGGATTTGGGAGCCATCTGCCTAAGTGAATTTTAGGCAAATAGAATTTTCTTCTGAGGTGGAGTGAAAGGTGGAGAGCCCTAGGAGATGCCCAGCTTATTTATTTTTAAATTTATTTTTATTTTTTATTTTTATTGTATTTGGTTGTTATAGGGCCTCACTACACAACTCGGACTCATAGTGAGCCTCCTGTCTTCAGCCTCCCCATTGCTGGGATTATAGGCACGCGCCACCATGCCTAGACTCTGACCAGCTCGGGCAGCCTTGGGGGCGGGGCTGGTGCTGCACATGGTGCCATGGGTTGAACCCCGGTCCATGTGCTTGCCTAAGCTTGCCTAAGCAGGTGCTTCAGTCTACTGAGCTATCTTGCCGGCCCTCAGAAATGCCCAGTGTAAGCCCACTTCCTAGACATCTGCTTTCAAGTGACAGCTACAGCGCAGGTCCTAGGTCATAGTTTCCTACCCACTGTGCTGCTCTGTGGACCCTCAGTTTTAGATTATTGCCATCTGAAAAGAGCGCCAGCAACCTTAGTGCTAATTCCCTGTTGTGGGGAGAAGCCTAAACACCTTGTGCTTGTTTCCTGGTCCCATTACCTGCCACCACATCTGCGTGTTGACCGTTTAGTGTCAGAGCGAGGTCTCCAGCCTCCTTTGCTCAAGAGGGGAGAAGGAACCTGAGTTGATAGTGGGTGCAGTACCAAGTTCCAGTCTGGCGTAGCTTGAAGACTGGGCTTTCATACATCCTTTCCTGTGTTTTGATTTAATTCTGTGTCTGTTGGCCCCAGTCTTCATTGCCTGATTCTTTACTGCACAGTTAGCTTTTGGCTTAAGACTTCTTGGGCCTATGACAACCCATTTCCTCTCTAGACTGTCATGTTTGCTGTCCAGATTGGCTGTATCAAAAGTCATGGAAAACTTGACACTGATTCCTTGACCCTTGACCCAATTATCAGGACTCCCTTGTCCCAAATCAAATCTTAGGGCCAACTGATATGCTAGAGGAAAAGCCCCCACCAGAGGGCACCATCACTTCCGACAACTACAAGTTCTGGGGATTCTGGTCAAGGATAACGCTTGAAGGTCTCTAATAACTCTCTGCAAGGTGTTACCCTGACAGCTGTGGTTCACTCTAGGGAAGGGTGGGGATGGGAATCATCCAACAGAGAAGAGGCGTAGCACGAATTTGGAGGAGGCACTACAGCTCCCCATGGGCCTCCCCGTAAGGAGTCAGGGCGCATTATTTCTCAGCATATCCAGCATCTGAAAGGATGCTCCCAGGGTTGCCAGTCAGGAGGCTTGTGCCTTTGTGTCCAGTGTCTCCAGGACACAGGCTGCTCTGCTGCCCATCTTAGTCCTCATCAGGAAGTGAAGCTCTTGTTTTCTCAAAACACTCATCCCAAACCACAATATGAGTGTGACTGCAGTCCCTGGACAAAGATCTTCCTATCAGGGGTGATATAGCCAAAGGGCTTAGTGCTTACTTCCTAGAGGCAGAGGGAAAAGCCAGGCCCCTTTTGGGTAAATTTAAATTTTCTAATATGCAGTTTAAATGAGCTATAAACCCACTAAGATTTGGAACACCGCCTGCTTCTAACACCCGCCATCCATTCCTTGGGCGTGCTTCCTGAGAGCACGTGAAGACCGACTCAGTGGAAAGCGTCTCGCCATCCCGAGAATGACTGATAGGCAGAAACAAGACATCAGAAGAAGCCCAAACGAAGACA